TAATCCCAATTATAATATTATTAGCATATATGCATATCTGTATAACTATTCGTATCCATGATTAACAATTATAATTTCCAGTGTGAGAATGTGAAAGGGAACTAGGTTTGAAATACACGGTGAGAACCAGAAAACTGTCAAATAAGAAGACGACATTAAAACCATCATTCAGTTTTCCTAGGTTGTTATATTCAAAGCAAATAGTTTTTGAAGTAGCCTAAAAACTTGTATTAAGAAAAATTAGTCTGTTTACACTTGCACAATTGATGTGTATAATGTTTATTGGAATATTTCAAATAATAATTTGAGTCTAAAAGTCGTCTTCCTATTCCACTGTTTTCGGGTCCTGTAACCTTTTTTCTTTAGAAGAGATTTTAACTCTCACTCTTTTTCTAGAAACACCTTTTTTGTTTAAATGTTGCTTTTAAACTTCGTATTTACAAAAAAAATTCGTGAACGTTTCTTATAACATCATTGGATTAAAAAAATGTAATTGATTTTTCTTGGGCAACATTTCATTACCTGAGGTCATAAGGTTACAGAAAATAAATTTGACTCGATCTGTTGAACTGTCATTTCAATATTACATATCAATATAGTATAGTAGACGTCAGCGATGTAAACTTAGCATTTATATGGCATTACAGTCTCACAAATGATCTCCACAAACTGCAATCAGACCATAAATTCTTTATAAAGAAAAAAGAAGAAAAAGAAGAAGAAGAAGAAGAAGAAGAAGAAAAAGAAGAAGAAAAAGAAGAAGAAGAAGAAAATGAAGAAGAAGGAGAACAAGAGAAAGAAGAAGAACAGGAAGAAGAAGGAGAAAAAGAAGAAGAAAAAAAAAGAAGGAGAAAAAGAAGAAGAAGAAGAAAAAGAAGAAGAAGGAGAACAAGAGGAAGAAGAAGAAAAAGAAGAAAAAGAAGAAGAAAATGAAGAAGAAGAATAATAATAAAAGAGGAAGAAAAACTAGCTAATGTCAGATTAGAAGTTTAGAATTAAATTTAGGAATTGCTTTGATAGAAAGGATGGATTCCGGAAAATAATTTCGCAGCAAAATATCTGCAGAGTTTTGTAGGAAGTAGGGGGGGGG